CCTTGCAAATTTGCATTTTACATAATTGTTATTTTCATAGGTATTTTAAAAATTTTAACATTGTTGGCAACATCTCTGTATATGATCTTCTTAATATTGAAATCACAAAATAATATTGCCACTTTTTAGAGAATTTAAAAAATGGGAAAATGAAAACTAATTATTTCACAATGGAGAAGTTAGCATATATGATAAATAACTTATTTTCGTGGTTTTCTTTTCTGATTGGAAAGTTAATACATGCTCCCTGAAGAAACATGGCACAGAAAAGTACGGAGCAAGAAAATAAAATACCCCATTACTGTCTCGTTCTGAAAACATTTTATCATATTTGTATCTTATTTTTCCTGGTCTTTTCTGTACATACTGTATCTGGTGTTGAGACTGTACTGATAATCCTCATTTTCTATTCTATTGAATATATTTACACATAAATCTTGTCATCATTTCAGATTATTTCCTTCAAGTAATTTTTCGGAAGAAAAATCCTTAATTTAATTGGGATAGATGATTTTTAAGGCTTTGAACAAAGACTACGTTTCAGAAAAATTATGAAATTATGACCTATTTTATATTCCTGCCAGCAGTATCTAAAAATGGCCATCTCTCTGAACCTTAGCTCATAAGAGTATGTTTTTAATCTTTGTAAAGATGATTAAGTGAAAATTGTGTTTTATTTTTAATTCACATTTTCCTAAATATTTTCTAAGTTGAATATTCAGTATTGTTACTTTAAATGGGATTTAGTTTTATATGATAGTAATCAGTCTAGTTTATCCTGTATGTCCTCCTTCCTTTTGTCCCCTGGTAGGAGTAATAATAATTTTTCTATTATCGTATAATTTCATTGAATTTTTTTTAAGATGACAGGTGCATAATTAAGAATAGATGAATAATAATAAAGGGATCTCTCTATTTATGGGGTTACTTGCTTGTTCTATTTTCTTGTGACCATACAGATTTTGTCTCTGGTACTATGTTCAGAACTAAATAGGTGAAAGGATGTAGAGAGAAAAATTCTAGAAATCTAAGTTCATACTTATATTTACAGTGAACTTTTGGAATATGACCATTTTGTGAATGGATTTTTAGTAAACCATTGGGGAAATGCCAAAATACAAGTTTTGTGTTTTTTTAAATTTTTTTCTTTTGAGACAGAGTCTCAAATTGTCGCCCTGAGTAGAGTGCTGTGGTGTCACAGCTCACAGCAACCTCAGACTCCTGGGCTTCAGTGATTCTCTTGCCTCAGCCTCTCAAGTAGCTGGGACTACAGGCGCCCACCACAACACCCAGCTTTTTGTTGTTGTTGTTACAGTTGTCGTTATTGTTTTAGCTGGCCCAGGCCAGGTTCAAACCCTCCAGCTTTCGTGTGTGTAGCCAGCACCCTATCCACTGAGCTACGGGTGCTGTCCATAAGTCTTTGTTACTAAAATTCATTCATTTTGTTCTCTTAGACCTGTTAAGTTCCTTGAGGGTAGGAATCAGATCTCATTTATTTTTGTATTCTAGGCCTAATTCCTGCCTAGAACACAGTAGGTGCTCAGTCAATGAGTAATTAATAGGCTCTTTAAAATACTGAAAAGATTGAGCCTGGAGTTAGAAGATGGAGGGGTTTTCTCCCTTAATTTACTAGAGCTTTAGGACATTTGTAGATTATGCGACATCCTTTGAACCTCTGTTTTATTAACTCGGGAGTATGCTGCTTGTTGCATTTATTTTACAGAGCTGAAAATAAACGGGATAAACTATATTAAAGTAGCTGATAAATGTTTAAGAGTGCCTTGCAGTTGTGAAAGTCATCACCACCATTATTGAACAGCTATCTGTTTCTGGAGAGTACTTGGTAAAGAGCTCCATTGTTGAGAAATTACCTGTAAGAGCTTGGCAGAGACTGCTGGCTGTTCATCAGAAACTCTATCTTCTCTTCTTTCTAGGCCTCCAACTACACTGTTCCTCTGCCTCCCTGACATTTAGGTGTGTTCCTGTGATTAAGTTCTAACTAGTGGAATGAGCTGGAATAATACACACCACTTCTAGGCCTGGCCCCGAAAACTCCCCAGGAGGACCCCTCTGAACTCTTTTTTCTTCTTTCTAACTGAAATAAAGATCACCTTCAGGTTAACCTTGGAATCCACATATTAAAGATAGTGAAGCCCCCTTGAGCCTTAGATACCTGCTAACTTCGCCCATCTAATTCTGCTACACAAGCAAGAAGTAAACTTCTGTTGATCTAGAATCCTATGTTTCAAGATGTTCTTAGTAAATGTTAGAAGGAACATGCTAACATATGTTCTGCTTTTTCTTTCAAGAAGCATAACACTTTAAAGAAAGAAGTATACGATACGTATTTGTGGTCTTAGGTAGGTAGAGTCTATAACCCAAGACAAATAGAAAATTATGTCATCTGAGATTTTTGTTGTTGTTGAGAAAAGATGAATAATGATGTTTATAATTTTTATTAAAGTTTAATTAGATGATTTATATATTTTTCACTGTTCAGGCCAAGTTTCCAAAAGAATATAAATTGCTGGATAATATCTTGCTTTGGTATTTAGTATCATTTCATTGGTATTTGGTATCCAAACCTTCCCTTCAACATTAAATATGATACAAGATATATACAATATAAAATTGTCTTATAATAGTAATGCTGAGATTTTAAAAACTATATAGTGTCTTTCTTGCCAAGTCTTTGTATTTATTAGATGGCTGCGACCTGTCTCATAAATGCTTTTTGTTGAGGAGGAGGGTGCTGGTATCTAGACTCAAGCCAGAAATTGTAGGGCAAGATGTTTTCTTCAAAATATACATGTCTGTGAAACTCTATGTTACCTTCATAAGGAATATTGAGATATTCAAGTATATGCTTAGCCTTTTGGGGGGCAGCTTTTACCTAAAGTTACCTGAATACGAGATTCTATCATATTGTTAATTGAGGAGGTTTCTTTAAATATACTTTGTAGAATATTTTGATTACGGTAATAATTAAAACACCACCAAACATAATGAAAAGAGCTACTAAAGAACCTATGTGCTTTGCTGCCTTGAGAAGGAGCTATCCCCTTTCTTCTTAGGCAGTACATTTAATTTTACACATTATGATCAGTAATCTGATTTCCCCTGGGAAGCTTGGGTTCTGTGAGTTACAATTAATTCAAATCAGGAAACAAGCTGTGGCCTGCCAGTTAGAGATAGAGAAAGATGAGAAATAACCTTCCAGTAGAGCTTTAGGAAATCAAAGCAAAAGACGGCAGCAGTAAGGAAAAAAGAAAAAAATTACCATTGACCCTTGAACAGAGTGGGAGTTAGAGACGCTGACCCTGCCCCCCACCCCCACCCCAGCAGTTGAAAATTCAAGTGTAATTTTCAACTCCCCCAAAACTGAACTATTGATAACATACATTAGTGATGGCTAGAAGCCTCACTAATGAGTCCATTAACACGTTTTGTATGTTAAATGTATTATATACTGGCGGTGCCTGTGGCTCAAAGGAGTAGGGCGCCAGCCCCATATGCGGAGGTGGCGGGTTCAAACCCAGCCCCGGCCAAAAACTGCAAAAAAAAAAAGTATTATATACTGTATTCTTATAATAAAGTAAGCTAGTTTTTAAGAATATCATAAGGAAAAGACATGTACTGTTCATTAAGTGGAAACGGGTCATCCTAAACCTCTTCACCCTTGTCCTCACAGTGAGTAGCTGGGGACCAGGAGGAGGAGGAGGAAGAGTTATCTCAGGGGTGGGTGAACATCTGTGCACAGTGGACCCAGGCAGTTCAAATCATATTGTAGAAGGCTCAGGTGTAATTGTATGAACAGGAGACAGAGGAAATTAAGCAAATTGACAAGACAAGTCCGATTTTCCTAGATACCTTTTGGGAGTATTGAACTGTTTTATTTTAGCACGTACAATAGTCGATAGATTACAAATTGATATATATTTGTAACATGAATCAATACATAGGCTGAATTATGTTAAGAGTTTTTTTGATAGATTGTGAAATACATTTTAGAGTTTCCTCAAAATGTGTTAAATTTGGGTAGTTGCCAATTATGGGAAAAATTTACATAAATCAGAATGCTGTATTCCTAACTAAATAAATAACTAATTTTTTTTTTTTTTTGGTCAGGGCTGGGTTTGAACCCGCCACCTCCAGCATATGGGACTGGCACCCTACCCTTTTGAGCCACAGGCGCCACCCTAAATAACTGATTTTAAAAAATTAGTTCTTTTTACTTTCATGGGGAAAAAAAGTATGCAGTTGTTGAATTCTGAATATTTTATCTGCCTTTAAATGTAATTCCTTCAGATTATTAACCTTGGAATTGTTTGGATTCCTGTCTATAACAGAATAAGGCCACATATTCTGAAATCACATTCATTTTAGAAAGTTAAAGTTAGTGTAATTAGTAACATTTTGGTTTTTGCACTTTGAATTTTCAAACAAAATTTAATCCAGTTGGGTATATTTCATTTGGTGAGTTTTAGTACTTAGTATTCAGCTTTGTTTTAGACAGGTGTGTCTTAGATTTTCTGTAGACCCTATCTATCACTTCTAGAAAGATAGTATTTCAGTACAATAGAAACTGTCCTCTGAACTGTCTTCTGCTTGGCTGATCATTGTTTTATAGATACTTTACAATGGCATAGTTGAAATAGTTACTAGTTTAATGAAGATTTTATTTCTCCAGTTTTTACACGAAGTAAAAAGGTATTACAGTTGTACTCAAAGAGAAATACGCTTTACCCAAGTAACTTTGCAGAGTCATTCTTCATAGCACACGAACGACACTGCCAAACAGAATTATCTGCAGCTCTTTACACCTGTTATCAGTTTAAGAAACATTTGTTGAATGAATGAGTGTTGAATTTAAAATAGCTGTCATCAGTGTCACAGGCACCGACAGGCAAAGTCTCGATGCCATTTATTGATAGTGTTCTTAATGGCAAAATGTCAACCTATTGTATATTAATTGTATTTATTTGTGTTCTGGGATGCAGGTGGCGATAAAAATAATAGATAAATCTCAGCTGGATGCAGTGAACCTTGAGAAAATCTACCGAGAAGTGCAAATAATGAAAATGTTAGACCACCCCCACATAATCAGACTGTATCAGGTACGAGTTGGCCTCACATCTCTCCACGCAGCCCATATTCGCACTTTATTTTGCATCCTGATTTTCCCGTTCATGCTAGTTTTTCTAGTCTGCAAACGAAAGATAAATATAAGCTTTTGTTAAACTGAGTACATCCATTTTTCTATATTAACTTCTAATTAAAGATTTTAAAATCAGAAACTAGTAACTTAATTTTAAGTGGTCGCTCAGACTGAAAGTTACTTATTTTAAAAGTTTGCAATTGTGCATTCATGATACCCCACTGGGTTTTGGTGGTGGTACCTTAAAGGCATATGGCCGTTTGGCTCATTTAAAAAGCAAAAGTGTTTATGGTTTATGACATACAAAAGCTAAAGTGATATGTTACTCAGTAGCATAATTTGTACTACATAGAGGTGAATTTTTTTGGCTGCTTTTATCAAATAAAGTAAAGGAACCACTTTTTAAACTTATTTTATTTTATTTATTTAATTTTTTTTTTTGCAGTTTTTGGCTGGAGCTGGGTTTGAACCCACCACCTCTAGCATATGGGGCCAGCACCCTACTCCTTTGAGCCACAGGCACCACCCCTAATTTATTTTTTTATTATTTATTTAATTTTTTGAGATAGAGTCTCACTTCTGTTGCCCTCCATAGAGAGCTGTGATGTCATAGCTCACAGCAACCTCAAACTTTTGGGCTCAAGTGATTCTCTTGCTTCAGCCTCCCAAGTAGCTGGGACTACAAGCGCCTGCCACAATTCCCAGCCATTTTTATTGACAGGGTCTCGCTCTTGCTCCGGCTGGTTACAAACCTGTGAACTCAGGGCAATCCACCCGCCTCAGCCTCCCAGTGTGCTAGGATTATAAGCATGAGCCACAGCTCCTGGCCTGAACCACTTTTTAAAAAATCAACTTTATTAAGATAATTTTTATAAAATAAGTTGTACCTATTTTAAGCATACGCCATGGTTTTTTATTTTATTTTATTTTATTTTTAAATTTTTGTTTAGCAGGCCCCAGGCCAGGTTCAAACCCACCACCCTTGCTACATAGGCCCAGGGCTCAGTGAGCACCAGGCACCCCCAAAGCCATGGTTGATTTTTTTTGTTTTGTTTTGTATTTTATGGAGACAGAGTCTCACTTTGTGGCCCTCAGTAGAGTACTGTGGAATCATAGCTCACAGCAACCTCCACCAACCCTTGAGTCCTTGGGTTTAAGTGATTCTCTAGCCTCAGCCTCCTAAGTAGCTGGAATTACAGGCACCTGCCAGAACTCCCAGCGATTTTTGGTAGAGACAGGGTCTCACTCTGGCTCATGCTGGTCTCGAACCTCTGAGCTCAGGGCAATCCACCTGCCTTGGCCTCCCCGGGTGCTAGGATTACAAGCATGAGCCACCACACCCGGCTGAAGCCATGGTTTTTTAAAAGGAATATTTTCTTGAGTTTTAAAAGAGTAATTTGTGTTTAAGAATGATGATATAAAACATTTTAACATTTCTATTCATTAATATGTAGAATTTTTCTATTAGAAAGATTTTAAACTGAAATAATTCCAGTATGCTGGCCTGTGACTTGATTCTCCAGAGTAGGAGGTGTGAATTCATGGTATGTTAGACTAGGCCCCTGCTGGCTTATGAGAGCTGATTGTTAGATTTTCAGAAGTTTTGCAGGCTAATTAATATTACATCATTAACTTAAAATCAGCATTGGTAGGAATATTTACACCATAGAATTGGCTTATAAATCAGGGCCTTTTTTTTTCCCTCTCAGAGAGCTGATTTACAGACACACTACTGTGTGCAGTCAAATGGATAAATGTCTTTGGGAGAATAAGAAGAAATTATTACCCTTTCTTGCTTCGTTTATTGTTTTTATTTGTCTTCTTGTATGCATTTATAAGGTATAATGTTGACACATATATGCTGTTTGTATGTCTGTACATGCACATAAATGCTTATATACATGCGTGTGTGTGAACATATACATGCATATATGTATACATATCCGTGGCTAAACTACTTTTATTGATAGAGATTTGTGATTTAAAAAATGTAGAGATATGCTTCCTAAGAATGAGAGGCTGTGATGTACCACTTAAAACATTTTCTAAAACTTCTCGAACTATAGAGTCCTCTTAGATCAAATCTAAATATATATCAGATTAGTCAGGTGTGGTGCCGTGTACCTAGAGAGCCAACTACTTGGAATGTTGAGGCAGGAGGATTTCTTGAGCCTAGGAGTTTGAGGCCACAGTATGCCATGATAACACCTGTGAATAACCTCTGTACTCTACTCTAGCCTGGGCAACATAGCAAGACCCCATCTCTTTAAAAAAAATGTCATGTTCTTCAAAGTCACTGATGAACTGTAAGCTAAAGATAAAACTATGATGATTTACATAATTCTGTCTTTATTTGAACTAAATAATTGGTTGAAATTGATACACTATTTGATTTGTTTAACCAAATTATAGGTAGCTCTTAGTATTCTGGTGTGGGCAATGGCCCTAAACCTACATCTTAAAGCAAAATTAGTTTTCAGCCTTTCAGTAGATAGCAGATAAAGAGTGTTACAGAGAAGGAGTCTACAATGTACTCATATTAAATCTAAAAATTAATTTTCTTTCTAAATAGACATCTGTTCATTGTAGTTTGAAAAATCAAATTTGTGACAATGACACTCTTTCTGAACCTAAAAAAACTAATTTAAATAAAAGTGTGTAATAGCAAAGCTACAAAGATGAAACTTTTGAACCATGTTTTAAAATTACAGTACTTTGTAACAATATTAAAGTGTAGTAGGAATATCACATTGGGCCAGATTTGCTAGGGTACAGGCCAGATGGGCTAAATTCTTTTATTCTTCTGTTAATCAGAATCTACCATGAAAACAGGGCTAGAAAAATCTGTAAGAACATGTTGAAAAGTTGACCTTCAAAACTCCTATTACCTATATTAGTACTTCTCAAACTTTAATATGCGCAAAAATCACCTGGTGATTTTGTTAAGATGTAAATTCTAACTCAGTACCTATGGCATGGGGACTGAGATGATCTGATGGAGATGGTCTACATCAGTTAGTTTTATGTCTGATGCAAGCCTGGGCAATGCTGATTAATGGACCATGCTTAGAAGAGCAAGGATGTAGATTTTTCAAAAAAAAATGCTTCTATGAGGATATTGGCAGGCTTGTAAACTTTGCCAGCTTTGGAACTGTTCATAACTTGGATTCCTTTATGAGTAGTTTCAATTTAGGTAACCCCATAGAGTGTTGTAGTAGATTGCAGTACTTTCCTGGCAAACTAATCTGGACTTATTTTCCAACAGGTAATGGAGACCAAAAGCATGTTGTACCTTGTGACAGAATATGCCAAAAATGGAGAAATTTTTGGTAAGTTTTTTTATAATTTTTTTATTAATTTGAAAAAGTCTACATGAATGGGGTATTTTCAGTTATTTATTTATTTATTTTTTGCTTATTTAAGAATTGGTAGTATGAGTTAGAAACTTTTTATTAGGATATGATAAAATATCCAGTAAACTAAAAAACTTGGAATATAGTGTATTTCCTTATGTTTATGATGTATGTTACAGGTGCTTGTTAATCCTTTCACTGTCCTAAAGAGATTAGAGAATCAAGGATAGGAAAAAATTTTCAGTCTCATTGCAAGGGAGATTTTGTTTTCTTTTATCTTCTTTCTTACCTTTCTTTCCAGGAGAAAGATCAGTCACAAATATTTTTTGAGTTCTTACCTTGTCTCAGGCATTTTTCCAGGTATTAGGATACAGTGGTGTCTTAAAAACCACAGTCTCTGTCACTGTGGCTCTTACGGTTTAGTAAGGTATTCACTGTATTTGTAAGGCTCAAGCACATCACTAGCCCTCTCTGGGACTTGGTTCCGTTACATCTAAAAAGAAAGTATTTGACTAATTATTCTCTATGACTAAGGTGACCAGACGTCCCGCTTTTGGTGGGACAGTCCCAGTTTTTAACAATTTGTCCTGCATCCTAGGCGTTTTTAAAAAGTCCCGATTTTTGGAAAGAATACATGACAAGCTAGGGAACAGCAGGACATTGGGAAGGGAATATACAGTTTTCGGCTGCTGAAAAGGTTAATGTAACTCCATTTGGGAATGAAGAAGTTAATATAACTCCATTTGGAAATGAAGAGGTTAATGTAACTCCATTTGGGAATGAAGAGGTTAATGTAACTTCATTTGGAAATGAAAAGGCTAATGTAAACTCCCTACTCTCCTCCTGGGCAAGGTATCAGAAGACTGGCTCCCTCCTTTGCTTCTAGGCAAGGACAGTTAGCTCAGAAGGAGCCAAACTGTCTGGAACAAACAATTACCCTCCCCTCTAGAGTAAGGTGATCAGACGTCCCGCTTTTGGCAGTACAGTCCCAATTTTTAACAATTTGTCCTGCGTCCTGTGGCATTTTAAAAAAGCCCCAATTTTTGGAAAGAATGCATGACAAGCTAGGGACCACGGGAGAACAGGAAGGGAATATACGGTTTTCAGCTACTATGTGGCTATTTCGCCAGGATGTGTGTTTTATATTATTTTTGTTAATTTTATAATGTTAAACTTTAATAATAACAAATAATTGTTGAGAACTGATTATTGAGAACTGCTTATCAAAGTTTGCATTGTTGTCAGGCCCCGCCCCCCCCAATGGTGTCCCCCTTTACCAATGTTAAAATCTGGTCATCTTATCTCTGACCCCTTGTAGCCCTTACAAATTATGGACATTCTATTTTGACTTTCATCGAAAGTATCTATGTATTTTTACTCTGTGAAGCCAGAATGCTAAACCTAAATTTAAATCCAGAATTGTTTCTTACACAGTTTTATTGAGGAATAATTTACATACAATAAATTGCACATGTTTAATGTATACAATCTAAGTTTTGATACAGTTCCATTTGTGTAACTATCATCATGATCAGAATATCCATCACTTTCAAAAGTTTCTTTGTACCCTCTTTGTAACTTTCTCACTCCCTCCCTTACTCAGGCAACCACTGATTTGTTTTCTGCCCCTATAGATTAAGTTCCTATCTTTTAGAGTTTTATAGAAATGAATCATAGTGGATGTACTCTTTTTGTCTGTTTTTTTGCCCTCAGTAGAATTATTTTGAAATTCATCCATTTAATTGTGTATATCAACATAAAATTTCTTTTTATTGTAAAATAAGTTTCTTTTTATTATAAGTAGTTTTGTCACCCCTCCCCTCCACCCCCCTTTGTATGCATTCTTTTCCTTAGAATGCATATAAGTAGTATTCCTTTATTTTGATTTGTTTATCCATTCATCTGTTGATAGACATTTGGGTTGGTTTTAGTTTTGGGCTGTTATTTGTAAGTTGCTATGAACATTGATGTACAGGTCTTTAACCTAACACAATCTACCTTCAAGTAGTTTGTAACACTTCACATAATAGAATAAAAACCTTACCATAACATACTTTTTTTGGGGGGGGGGGCTGGGTTTGAACCCACCACCTCTGGCATATGGGCCCAGTGCCCTACTCCTTTGAGCCACAGGCACTGCCCGGTAACATACTTTAATTTTGGCCCTCTTGGCTTTTCTGTTCTTCGTTGTCATATTTTACTTACACTTACTTTATAAAACAGAATATAGTATTCTTCTTTTTTAAACAGTCAATTATCTTTTAAGGAGATTTCAGTTTTGTTTTTAAAATTATATATATTTACCAGTGTAATTTACCATTCCTGTATTTCTACCTGAAGCCTAATATCTTCACCTCCATTCTTTTGTGTTGATACATGTCCCTAATATCTTCACCTCCATTCTTTTGTGTGGATACATGTCTTTATCAAGTGCCATCTTCCTTTTGCCTGAAGGATGTTCTTTAGTGCTTCTCATATGTGTCTGCTGGTGATGAAATCATTCAGCCTTCATATATCTGAAATAATCTTTATTGTGTCTTTGTTTTTGTAAAATACTTGCAATAGGTATAGAATTCTAGACTGATCTTTTTCTCTTTCAGCATCTTAAAGACATTGTGTCTCTCTCTCATTTGTTCTATTTCCTACAGGAAATCTGCTGTCACTGTGTCTTTTTCTTTATGCTGCTGTCTGTAATGTGCCTTTTTTCTCTGGCTGCTTTTAAGAACTTCTGTTTATTATTGGTTTCAACACTTTAATTATCATGACTTTGTGTGCATTTCTTTATGATTCTTATGTTTGACGTTCATTGAGTTTCTTGGATCTGCAAATGTACTGTTTTCATTAAATTTGGAAATTTTTCAGCCATTATTTTCTAATTTTTCAGTCCTACCACTCTCTCCTCTCCTTCAGAGATTTTAGTAAAATGGATATAAGTCTTTGAAATTGTCTGATACCTCCTTTGTGTTTTTAAAACTTTCTTTTTCTGTCTGCATTTCATTCTGGATGGTTGCTACAGTATTTCTCTGTCTTCAAGTTCACTAATCTTTTCTTCCGTGAGGTCTAATTTGCCACTAATCCCATTCCATGTATTTTTCATCTCAGACACTGTAGTTTTCTTCCCTGTCAACTTGACTAGGACCCTGATTATTCCTTCCACGTCGTTACTTAGTTTTTTGAACCCTGGAATACAGTTATAATAGCTTCCGATGTCCATATTTGCTAATCCTGGTTTCTCTGTCTGTTCTGGATCAGTTTTAGTTGGTTGATGTTTCTCCTCAGTTTTAGTTATATTTTCATGCTTCTTTATATGCCTGATAGTGTTTGATTAGATGCCAGACCCTGCCAATTTTACCTGGAATACCACATGTTTTTGTGCTACTTTAAATTGTCTTGAGCTTTGTTCTGGGATGTGATTAAGTTACTTGAGAATAGGTTGATCCTGCCTTTACGACGGGACCAGTGAGTGCTAAGTCTAGGTCTGATTATTTCCCACTTCTGAGTACTCTGAGGACTTTTTTTTAGCTTGACCAATAGGAATAGGCAGTGTTCCTGGCTCTGTGTAAGTACTGGGCATTGTTCTCTCTCAGCCTCTCAAATGGTTCTTTTTCTGGCCTTGGGCAGTTTCAGTACTCTCCTGAGTGTTCAGAGGGTCCCTCTGCAGATCTTTGGAGTTCTCTTTGCACCTTTCTTCTCTAGTACTCTGTCTTGTGACCTCTCTCCAGTTCTCCCCAG